CGAGCGTGTGTATACTCAATGTATACTCGTGTGTGTGTGATTATAACATGTATTCAACTGATACGGGACATGCATGGAATCTCTGTGGCGCGTTGTGATGCAGTATAAAGCACGGAAATAATCGTACGAACAACGTTCACAGCTTTATTGAAATTAAAATAGAAATAGAAATTGAAAAATTGAAACAGCGGCAGCGCTAGCAAGCCAAGATTCGTCGCCGGGTTGCCTCGTACATTTCCGCGTAACCCCGCGGCGGCGGAACAAAGGAAGCCGTGCTCGTTCGCTAGCTAACGCACGCGCGCCGGCGCAAACACACTTCCCCCTTCTCCCCCAAACCCAGGGTAAGAAATACACAGGAGCAATAAGCGATTAGCTCTTCAAACCTCCGAAATCGCTCCCGTGAGGCTCAAAATAGCTCCCGTAGAATTTCCGACGAGAGCTATTTCTTCCACAGACTTTTGAAAAAGGGCTCCCGTAAAAAAAAGAAATTTTTTCTCTGCCCCAACCACCTGCCGATCTTTGGCACACACTCACCAGATTCTTGTGCATTTTTGACAGTGACTCGAGCACCTCGTCCATGACCTTGTCTGAAATCTGCGCTGCCAGCGACAGCGTCATCTCACTGCATGCAACACACGCACAAAAACACATGCTATTAGTAGTAGAGGGAGGTTACGTAAGGGCGAGAGAGAGGGGAGGATATGTGAGGATGAGGGGAGTGGGTGATGGGAGAAGGTTATAAGCTTAGGTAGGTGAAGTACGTAGTAGTAGAGGGAGGTCCCATCCAACGTGAGAGAGAAGGGAGGATATGTGAGAATAAGGGGAGTGGGCGATGGGAGAAGGTTATAAACTTAGGTAGGTGAAGTACGTAGTAGTAGAGGGAGGTCCCATCCAACGTGAGAGAGAGGGGAGGATATGTGAGGATGAGGGGAGTGGGTGATGGGAGAAGGTGAAGTACCTAGTCACTGGGGCAGCAGAGTGATGTTAGGTTGATGGATAGGAATGTAGAAGTAAATGCAGTTTGTGGGGTGGGAGATAGGTATGCTGGGGTGAGAGGTGAAGTAAGGGTGGAGGTAGTTTATAGAGTGGGAGAGGTATGCTGAGGTAGGGAGGTTAGGTAAACGTGGAGGTAGTTTATAGGTAAGGGTGGAGGTAGTTTATAGGTAAGGGTGGAGGTAGTTTATAGGTTAGGGTAGAGGTAGTTTATAGGTAAGGGTGGAGGTAGTTTATAGAGTGGGAGAGGTATGCTTGGGGTGATGTATCCGTGCAATTATCACCGGTCAGAGAGAGGCTATCATGATCATGCAACATCTGCAGCACATGTTACACTGCAAGGCAGCACTCTATCTACATGCTGTATCACAGACGCAACCCCTTAACACAAAATAACTCATGTTCAAGCAGAATGACGGTGGGCTATGACGGTACACGGGTTATAATCTACCACAAGCACACAGACACAGTATTGCATCCATTAATGTAGGTAATGTTGCATACCTACGACAGGTAATTCTGTTAATAAAACGCATACATGGACGATGCCTTGTTTTTAACATGCTAAACATGCACAGGCTTATTCATATACGTGCTTTATATGATTCCGCCATTCTGTGGGAGAGATCGTTAAACAAGCTCATGGGTGCACGCGGGGAGTTAAAATGTATTCTCATTGGCTAATACGCATATGTAATAATGAGTTCCTTAGCCGTCTGTTATCCGTGATCGTATGAGTGGGCTACGTATATTATTAGAGATATCGCTGAACGCATCATACACAAGTTACTGAACAATGCAGGTACGTGGTTAGAGCACAAACATCTTTACTGATCAAGAATACCTGATCTCATATACCAAGAATCACATATACCTGATCTTATTTAGTATAGGTGGCGCCGCCTGCAGTAATATTGCCGTGTTCACCAAATCCTTCGCCTGGGGAAACATTTCGGGACTGTAAATCTTCGACAGCGACTCCTGGAATAGCTCCTACAATGCACAAACAATACGCGCATCACTGCACAGCCCAGGGTTGAGTTGAATCAATCGTCGTGTTACTTATTAAGTACTTATGTACCAAGCACAAGCATTACAGGTTTCATACAATATAAGGGTGTCCAAAGAGAACATCCCCACTTTGATTAGAATTTAGATACTGCCACAACTCGTGCAAAACTGCTAAAAATCGCAGTAACTGAGCCGTGGTAAGTACAACTTTTGCGATAAAACCAGTTTTCGTTAAACAACTTAACAATTTCTACCATGACAGATCACTAGCTTTCGTAACGGAACCAATTTATTACACTACAAATATGGTTACGCTGCATTACAAGGTAATTTTCCTACAAAGCAGCGAGTTCTTGCGAATGATTCGTGAATCGTTTGACAAGGCCAGTGGTTCCCAACCTGGGGTTCCCGTACCGGTGTCCGCAAAGGTAGTACTGGGGGTCCGTGAGCTAAGTTAAAAATTTCAAAAGGCTCCAGTGTAAAATGTATAATTACTCACGATAAGGCTACTAAAGATAAACTTTAAAAATTTCACATTTCGTTGTTCTTGGCTGTAATATTATCAACTCAGTATGGCAACATTGGTTCTGCAGGGTAGATGTTTTAGCTATAAAATATACTGGGGTTCGTGGGAAAATTAATTTAAATAAAAGGGGTTCTTGGTGGTGAAAAGGTTGGGAACCACTCGACTAGGCGTTACACAATCGATCAGGATTTACGGCGGTGGCGGCATCAGCAGCCCGCGCCGCCGCACACACCTGGCCCGTGACGGAGTTTGGACAGAGCTGCTCGGCGCACGCGATCATGCTGCGCAGGTTCTCCTCCATGTGCTTCTCGACGACCTTCGTAAGGTCGTTGGCTATCTCCTGCAGCTTACGCTCAATGCTGCTGCCGCTCGTGTCGCCGGACACCGCCACGTGATACAGGTTAGGCAGCAGCTGAAATCACAAAGTTCGATCTTGGTTTAAGCCATGTGAGAGTTTTTTCTCGGTTAGACTGCATTCCACTTGCGGAAGGCAACTTCCAAACATGATGTGCCGGAACGGCGGAAAAGGGAAATGAAACATGAACACAAATTAATAGCCTAAATAATGACAACAATAAAATATAATAAGATTCTATAGTAAGCTTTATACTGACTGCTATTTACCCCCTCGCAAATAAATACATATTTATATGTCTATATCTTCCTAGCTACCGTTCCCCTACATCTATACCTTCACACGGAAACAGTTCGAAAATGCATGGATTCATCCTACTCAAAAACCACAAACGTTTTTGTAGATATATACTTGTCCACTTAAAAAATCACACGCAACAAATGTCTTGATTCTCAGGGTTACACGAGATTACAACGAACGGTTCTACGACAACAAAAGAAAGAGTGGTGGTGGAACGGTGAGGGATAGAGAGCAAAGAAGACCATGCTTAAAACTACAATAGCCGCGTTCACACGTAGCAAGAAATTCGGTATTTAGCGTTCACACGAGGCAAAATGCGAGGTCCAAGAAATACGGTATCTAAACAGATCCGGTATTTGATGTAAATACGCAGCTTCCCAGACCCCCGAATAATTTGCCGTGCTTGAGAAATACCGGATCTCTTGGACCGCGCATTTCCTCATGTGAACGCTAAATACCGGATTTCTGAAGCCGCATATTTTATAGACTGGTCCGCGCTCAACAGTTCCAGTGTAACGCGAGTGGAACTGTCGAGCGCGGACCAGTCTACGTATTTTATCGGCAGTTGGTGCGCATTGCATTGTTTATTTCGCATTGTTCGCTTGATTGTTTAAAGCAGCTCGCAGCTCGCAAATACCGTATTTCTGGAGCCGCGAATCAGCGTGTGAACGCTCGGCCGCGTATTTGTCTCAGATTCGGTATTTCGCAAATACCGTATTTCATAAATACGAGGTCTCGTGTGAACGAGGCTATTCTATACGGGAACCACTGTACCTGCTTGCACCTGGCTGCATCGTCTGCTAGCCTGTCCGCAGCCTCAAGGTCATGTCGTATCGACTCGTGGGGAGATTTCTTGAGCATCTCCTGGTCCTCTCTGATCTTCATCACAAGCATGTCCACCATCTACAGAAGACAGAATATTAAAGTAAAAATACAGACTGTGTTCCTTATCAGCGATCTGATAAACTGTTTGTTTCTAATCTTTACCACAAACACAAACCACCATCTATGGAATGCAGAATGTTCAACTGAAAAAAAACTGATTATGTTTCTATTAATCCTTACCACAAACGCACCACCATCATGTACAGAACACCGAATATTCAGCTGAATAAAACAGACTACGTTTGCTGGCCTGCGCCACAAACACACACCATCATACGCGGCGTGTAACCTACGTGTTGGGTGGAGCCTAGCAGGATGCCTTGCTGCAGCCGAAACAACTGATCGCTGGACATCTTCTGCGGAGCTCTGTTTCTGAACATGTATTCCTCGATCTGCAACGCGCCGAGAGAACAGACACGTTCTAAACACCCAGGGAAAATTCACGTGCGAGTGTCCAAATTCATCGAGAGCATGGTAAATGAAGAAGAATGAAAGGCGTGCGACTTTTTAGCAATAATTTCAACAAGCGGCCGTTGTCAGAAACGAAATTCGTCTTAACATTAGTTTTAACGTTGACAGAAACGATCGTTGACAGAAACATTAAGGTCACGTTACGAGCTTCTCATTCGGAGTGCATAGAGGTCAAGTCTTCTAGAAAAGGTTAACGTTAAAACTAATGTTAAAGACTAATGTTAAGACTACTGTGAAGACTAATTTCATTTCTGACAACGGGCACCAGCTATTCAAAATTTTACGGTAATACTACATGGTCTTCAACTGGAAATAGAATCAGTTGCATTTATACATCCCAGCAGAAAAGACTAAACCGACTATGAGAAACAATCAGATTCTTCACATCTAATCGCGGTACATAATACCCATAACATGACACTGCATTAACCGCGGAACATAAACTTGCCTTCTTCAATGCCTTCTCGGTCTTCTCCAGGTTTTCTTTGGCAGCACTAGCCATGTCCACGAGGGGCAGGTGCATAAACTGTAGCGTGTAGTTCCTGCAAGAGAACGATAAACACGCCGTAACCATAGTAACATCCGCGCCCGATGCTGAGACTGCAACTTCATAGGGGCAGATGTTAAGTTTTGATCAGGGGACTCCAATTGTTACGCTCTACCCTCAAACACGATGGTGCGTGCAGTCCAGAGTTTTGTAGATAATTTGAGATTTTTTGAAAATTTAGATTGAAAATTTCAACAAGAACAAAAACAACACGAGCGAAAGGAACTCGCAGTACGACAATATTACATTATGAGATCATTATGTTACCACCTGTGAATTACCACAACAGGATTTCAAACCATTAAACGCAAATAACGGCTGGATAATATTTTCACTCTTCATGCTCACACCCTATTTCATTTAATCGGTTTTTCCCTATCACACATGTATAAGATTGCAATACCCCTTAATTCAATTTACATTATTTACACTAATGAATTACATTTTGGAGGTAACATATTAATTGAAAAAGTTCATAGACAATACTGATAAAATTAAAACAAATAAAACAAAATAAATAGAAGTGATGGCGGGCGAAACGACAATTCAGTCACTCGATGTAGAATGTCGACTAGTGCCGTAGAGTGTAGAGTGTCACTAGATGTTGAGTAGATTACTAAACAACAACATGACGATCAATGAAGAGGACAATGATGAATACGACTGCGACCTGAATTAGATCATATTTTCGCTCCACGTGCTGCTATTGCACATGATAAGTTCTTCCTCATCACACACGTATACGATCGCCCCCATTTTCTTTTTTGTACATTCGCCCCCGCATCCATGTATCACAAATGTATAAGATCACTGTATATATACCCTTACTACAGCATATATTACTGTATGTGTATGTGCCTGCAGCCGTATACTCGCTCCCTAGCACTTACTTCTCCATGGCATGTGCGACTTCGATGAAGTCCTGCGCGTTGGTGTTGTTGCGATCCCAGGCGAGAGATGTCAGCTTCGTGTTGATCTGAAGCGCCTTTGCCAACATCTTCGCGCCGCTGTGTCCCATCAGGTTACCACTGCGAGCGTGCGGCAAGCGTGAATCAAAAAGCGAGTTCAGGACAGTAATGACAGGTGACTACTCGCGTAACACGACCGACCGTCCTGATAACTCGCCTAGGTAATGCTCACCTTTTTAAGGGCGCGCAATTTTTGTGTTAAAAATTTGAGCAAATTAATCGATTGGTGTGAAAGCATTTCAGCTGAATTACAAATGTGGTGAACTGACTTTATTATGAAAGTTGGCGATTACAGCGTCGAGTTATAGCGGGTAAACATTAAAATGAAAAATTTATAATAATAAAATCTTCGACGACCTAAACGTTGGGCCCAGGATGTGGTAGTACATCCTACGATTGCATGAATTTCCCAGGGGCGGATCCAGAGGGTTTGGGTGACCAGTTTCCATAGTTCTAGTCACAGCTAGGGGGGTCCGAGGGCATGCCCCCCCGGGAATTAAAAAAAAATTAGGCTATATTTGGTGCATTCTGGTGAATTTTGAAGGTCAATTCTGAAGATACCCAGCCTGTGACCGGTTTCTGGAAACCGGTGCAAACCGGCCTAAATCCGCGCCTGTTTCCTACATGCTTTCTTCAGGACTAGCAATCATGTATGAAATGATGAAGCATGGGAGGAGTGATACTCTTACATCAGATTCATTCTGAATTATGAGCAAACTCACGCGCACGTACAGTCAACTCTCCAAATTCCAAACCCACTCCCTTCAAATCCAAATCTCATATTAAACCGGATGATTTTTAAAGCCCCAACACCATCTGAGGCATGTAAGATATGCCTGAAATAGCCCCCCCCCTCCCTATAAACCGATCCTCACATAAAACCGGATGATTTAAAGTCCCAACACCATCTGAGGCATGTAAGATATGCCAGAGATAAAGCCCGCTCAATATACCACACTTCACAGCAAACCGAACTAAACGGAGGGTCCCCGAGGGTTGGTGGGTGATGTGAGAGTTGGCTGTATTAGCGAGGCACACCTCAGGTCGATGTGCGACAGGGTGTTGTTGCTCCCGAGCGCGTTTATGATCACACACGTGTCCACCTTCAGCTTAGAGTCGGCCAGCGAGATCGATTCTATCTGCTGGAGAGAAAATAACAACTGAGCAAACGCATGCCGAACGCCAGCCACTTCATGTTGTGATTAAATTCCAGGTACATCCAGGTAATTCCAGGTAATTTCCAGGTACGTGAATCGCGAATGGCACCAATTTAAATGGCGTTTCACTATTCATTTTTACACTTTTGTTGGAAAGGTGATAGCTTGATGATTTATCAATGATACGCTAACATGTTCCCATGCAGAAGAAGATTAACGATTACAAATTAATTATCGATGTGTTAAGATTAATGATTAAGATTAATGATTAAGATTAATGATTAAGCAGAAAATTAATGTAAAGATTAATCACGTAACAGGCGCTTACCGAATTCTCGGTTTGGATTGTTTGCACCACATACTCCAATATTTGTGGTAGCAGATTTCTGAAACGATGTACATCAAAACTTGCACATGAGAGATAGTTTCTTTACACTACACAATGTGTAATCTATACACGCCTTGTCTGCCACACAACATCTCATACACTTATGAAAACACATTCAACAAAATCTTTTAACTTTTAACATTTCCAAATAGCAGCAAATCATTGGTTTTTGAAGCACAAGCATTGCCTCCTGCTGCTACCTTGTAGCTGAGATGAGATGAGATTTCATGTATACTAGATAACATTCAGGTGCCCCCTGCGCACATAACGACAACCCCACACAGACACAGACGCTGAGACCTACCTTGGCTTGATGCTGTTGAAGTTCTTCCCCATGGCGACATGCCGTATCGACTTGTTCCTACTCAACGCAGTGCATACGACCGAGGACTCATTATCGAAACCTGCCAAAATACACGATACAACATTCCAAAATTCCGTTTTTATTATTATGATAATAATAATTATTATTCGTATATATATACTATTATTATCAGTGTTGTTGCTGTTGTTGTTGTTGTTGTTGCTATCATTATGAAACAAGCCCATGTCCATGTTGGTGATACCGGGCAGGACAATGCTCAGAAGGTACGCTCCATCCTTGCACATCTCATCATCATCATAATCACCGTCATCATCATCGTCGTCGTCGCCACCCTCATCATCATCATCGTCACCATCACCATCATCATTATCATCGTCGTCGTCGCCGTCATCATCATTGTCATCATCATCATCGTCACCATCACCATCATCATTATCATCGTCGTCGTCGCCGTCATCATCGCCATCACCATAATCATCATCAGCGTCAGCGTCGTTACCGTTGTCGCTGATGTCCAGGCTGACGATGTTGGTGATTCCGGGCAGGACAACGTCCAGCAGGTACGCTCCATCCTTCCTCATCTCGTTAGCGCTCAGGTCTAACGACACGCCGTGCAGCTTCTTGTTGCAAGCGATGCCCAGCAACACGCACCTGCGAACAGGTGAAGCCAGAATGATAGCCGTACGCGGGGGAATAAGAGCCGTATGCAGCGGAGAGGGAAACAGACGGACGACCGACAAAACATGGCACGATACATGCAAGTTTCAAGCTGTTGCTACTGCTGCTGCTGTTACTACTGCTGCTGCTGCTGCTGCTGCTGCTGCTGTTACTACTGCTGCTGCTGCTGCTGCTGCTGCCACTGTTACTACTGCTGCTGGTGCTGCTGTTACTACTGCTGCTGCTGCTGCTGCTGCTGCTGTTGCTGCTACTACTACTGCTGCTGCTGCTGCTGCTGCTGCTGCTACTACTACTACTACTGCTGCTGCTGCTGCGTTTACGATTGAATTTACGATTGAAACTCTTAATGCCATCTCACTACCTGTTCAAGATACTAACGCAAGAAAACTACTGAATATCTATAAAACGATTTTCTCCTTATTCTAATCAGACACTTCGAAACATGCTAACAGCTCAAGCCTAATCACGCCTTAACCTCGTTAACACAATTAAACTGGAACTCGGAAAAGCGTAGGATCGCATCGGAAACGCGCGAACCGTCCAGCTGACAACGCATTCTCATTGTTTAGATCGTGGCAGTACCCTGACCGGTGACAAAACTCTGCATACACCCTCTCCTCCTCTTCCCAGAGCCTACGCCCCCTCCCCCTCCCCCAGAGCCTACATCCCTAGACGACTCCCCCCACTCAGGCTGCGACAACCATGCCTTCCCCCGCCCGCCGCGACGAGAGATGCTCACTTGATGACGTCGGTAGGGAGTCGACACCCCGCGAGTTTGACGTCCCGCAGCGAGTGACAGGAGGCGAAGAAGTCCTTGACGCAGGAGAGCACGACGGCGAGCTTGTCCCGCGACGAGCGTGACTGGAACGGGTTCATCGAGAGGTCGATGCTGGATAGGGTCGGACAGCAGCTCTGCATGAGTGTCGCAAACACCTGCCGGGAGGGAGAGGCAAAAAAAAAAATATAAAAAAAATAAAAAATAACAAAAGCGAGGTGCAAAGATATGCGATTGTTGTCAAAAAAAATCTAAATGAAAAAAAAACAAAGCAAGATGAAAAGATACATGATTATTACAAAAGAAATGCAAACATCTGTGTGCAAGCGAGACAGAAAAGACAAAAAACTTTAAAAAAAGCTTTTTAAAAACTTAAACATGATTCAAGGATATGCGATTATTGCAAAAAAGATCCAAACTGAAAAAAACAAAGCAAGATGCAAAGATACACGATTATTACAAAACAACTGCAATCACCTGAGTGAGAGAGACACAAATATAGGATAGAATTAGATTAGGATGAAATAAAACGATTAGGATCAAATAAATAGTCGAAGGGTGATATGTGAGGAATTATTATTGATTTCATTAACCACTGAGTCCATTATTTATTAGATCATCGCCAGAAAAATTACAAAAATCATTTTTTAAATAAAGCAAGATGTAAAAATATGCAATTATTTCCAAAAAATCACAAAATAACTAAAGCAAGATGCAAAGCTATGTGACTTCCTCGCGTCCTTCCACTAGACAATGGCTACCACCAACAAACAATTAGTCGAATAAAAGGATGAAGAGATAGACAGATTCGTGAGGAATTATTATAACCGATACACCTACCGTTTCTAGTGGACAGTCCATGGACGAGATGTTCAGGTGTGATAACGATGAAGCCTGCACTAGGAAAGACGTGAGTACCTGTGAAAGTAAATGTGTCAGGTGTATTCAAGAATGTAGCATTAACAAGTATCAAGGTATTCCGCTTGGGTTTTCCCTTCCAAGAAAATCCTATGATGAATGATCGTGTCTTTAAACGACAGTTTGACGAGTTGTAATGAAATGCAGTCACAGCCATTTTACTGTAAGGTAGAATAGTATTGTTGCCATAAATATTGTCTTAACACGTTCTTGGTTGTGATAGAGGTGCATAACACAAACTTATCACAGCTGCAAGTGAGCTTATCCATTCAGGTATACAATACTAACCCACATGCGCAGGCATACGTACGCACGCACGCACGCACCCACGCACGTACGCACGCACACACACACACACACTAGTACATGACACACCCGCATCATAATAAGTGAAAAGGTCTCAAACCTAATACTTGGTTTGCGATTATTCAACTGATATATGTACACAAATAATAAATATTATCATATACAACATTCACCGGGATTACGGAAATGTTCTGCCTACCTACCAACCCACTCCCAAAACGTTGGTTCATGTTACAGTAGGGGAGAGTAACCAGGTCAGGAAGCCTGTCACGTCCCTAGTACTGGTACTTGGTACCTAGTACTAGTAGCCTGCCCGACAGACAGCTACCTACCAACCCACTCCAAAAACGTTGGGTCATGTTACTGCAAGGAAGAAGAATCGTATCGGATTAAAATGGCTGCCTACGAGACATAGCTAGTTACGTAGCTAGACGCGCGTGTGTGGTCCTGTCACTCGTCACATTGTCTCTCTACATTGCGTTGCAGGGATTTTGTGCAGAAGCTGTCCACAGCCCTGCTCAGTGCCAACAGTCGTGTGACAGCGCTCGACCTTAGCGGTAACCACCTCGAGGACAAAGGTACTGATAAACGTGCTAATAGAAATGCAAATGACAAAGGTTGAGGTCGATCCGCGATGGGGGGAAATGTTTAGAGATGCTGAGTCAGCACTGTCTGGATAGTTGCCCGCAGAGGTTTGCGCATGAGGGCGTAGAGTGGTGTAGCCATCATTTAAAAAATTGCATTTCTAATAATGGTAACAATAATAGTAGAAGCAGTAGTAACAGCAGCAGCTGCAGTAGCAGAAGTAGTAGCAGCAGCAGTAGCAGTAGTAGCAGTAACAGCAGTAGCAGCAGTAGTAGGAATAGCAGTAGCGGCAGCACTACCATCACCACCAGCAGCAGAAGCAGCAGCAGCACCACCACAGCAGTGCCACCACCAGCAGCAGCAGCAGCAGCAGCAGTAGGAACAGCAGCAGCACCAGCATCAGTAGCATCAGCAGCAGCAGCAGCAGCAGCAGCAGCAGCACTACCACCAGCACCAGTAGCATCAGTAGCATCAGCAGCAGCAGCAGTAGCAACATCATCATCATGAGCAGCATCATCATCATCATCATAAGCATTAGCAGCAGCAGTAGCATCAGTAGCATCAGCAGCAGAGCGGAGTTCAGCAACATCATCATCTGAGCAGCTCATCATCATCATCAGAAGCATTAGCAGGCAAGCAGTAGCATGCAAGTGGGATGGCATCGCAGTGCCGACACATGCGCAGCTAGGCACACATCATCATCATGGGGCTAGCCAATCATCAATCACCTTCGCATAAGCGACTTAAGCAGCAGCAGTAGCATCGAGTAGCCCATCGAGGCAGAGCAGCAGTGAAGCAACATCATCATCGATGGCATCATCATACATAAGCATTAGCAGCAGCAGTAGTCACCGTCGTCTTGTTTGGCGTTCAGGTTCTCGTGCTTGGCCTGGCCGTCCGCCGGTCGCCGGGTAAAATGACACGAGATGAGCAGCGTGTCTGTGAATGCGTCGGCGCCACGCCCAAGGGTCTCGCCGCGCTCACGAACGCGATCTCGTCAGGATCTCCTT